GCTGGGCTTGTAGAGCTCAGTTTAATCAAATAGCTTGTGAGACCTTTCCTGGATTACTGTTGTTTTGATCTGCAGGTCTCCACGACCTGGGACAGAAAGCTCTGGAATCCTTACAGTCAACCAGTTCCAGTGCCATGTCCTCATCTAGCAACGACAATTCTTTAGGCAGGGACTGAGCTTGCTGCTGTCCCTCTGTTGTTGCCTACTCCTGGATGTCAGCATCCAGCACTGAAGTGGGTGTGTTTGTAAATTTTATGTTTTTCACTGAGATCATCATACTACATGTGCCTTCTGAGCGAAGTTTGGAAAAAAGCTGTTTTTGAAATAAAGTTTATGAATGTCTGAAAATACAGAGGGAGCGTTGGCTTATGATTAGAGGAGTGAAGCTGGAGTCAGGATTACTGGAATCTACTCTTGGTTCTGCCACTGATTCAGTGTGACTATGTGCCTCAGTTTCCAAGTCTGCCTATGGTAACAGTAATACTTATCTCATTCAAATGCATACAACAGAGGTATGGGTACTAGTCTCAGAACCCGCCATCCCTGGCTTTTCTGGGTTGGGCAACCAGCACAAACTCTCCTTAAAGTATGCATTTGCTTCTTCAGGTGATTGTCTGAAGATGGTCTGTTTCAGGAATGATTTGCATGCTACCCCTTAAACTTTACATTATCCTCACCTTCATACCTTCAAGCACCTGCGGGTCTCGTACTAATCTGCCAACTCAGCAACCTGTCAGATTGTTTTATGTTTTCTAACTGCTAGTCAAATTCTTATGAGAAACCCTCAAATTGTTCAAGGTGAAAGAGGTCTCACTTATTCTTCTATCCACTTGTCAAAGTTGTTTGCTATTGATACAGGTATATTTGTATAACCTTCATCAGCCCCATTTTTAGGCTGATGGACGTGCTTGAGCCACGCTATCATATTCATCTTGAATCTTATCAGGACAGCTTTCTCTTTAACATACATACTATACAATCCCTTCTGTTCTTTACAAGGGAATTACCATACTGGATTAGACTAGTAGTACATCTAATCAAATACCTTTTCCTGATGTTGACCATTAACAAATGCTTCAGAAAAGGGAACAAAGAAATCCCATAATGGACAATTCTGGAAAAAACTAACCCATAGGAGAAACTTCTTCCCAATCCATCATTTAGCGGCTCGTTTATACCTGATGCATGAGTGTTCATATTCCTTCAATTTTAGTTCAATCTAATGTAGGTATATTTTTAATGTGAATGTGGATTTTCTAGTATGAGTATTAGTTACAATAGTGACGAGAGGTGAAGTACACACTTTCTTTTTAACATGTACCGCTCACACATTTTCCTCAAAGGCACAAAAATGGATGCCTGCTTCTGAGAGTAGTTAGGAAATCTTCATATCCGGCTGAAACTGTGGGGATTTCCCTCATTTGTTTCCCCGCTACTATTGTGAATTCTACACTTAATTCCATCATTTCTTTCTCACTCCAACTGAAACTACATCTACGTCCCCATCCCATCTCTTGCCCTGAACTACAATGCTTCAAATAGCGCTGTTTTATTTGTAACTTCTCCAGTTCTTTTTGTTATGCTATATTATCCTTTCAGCAACAACGCTTTCTGTGTTATCAGCTCACCATGAATACTTCTCAGTCTTCTGGACTCAAAATCTGCCATCTGATTCAGACTCAGCTTGTCTTAACGCCTTGATTACAAGGTGTTTGTCTGATATGCCTTTATTGATACAGTTCCTATAGTGGCAAAAGAACTTCGGATATCTTAATTCCTATGCACCAATTCACCCACAACCAAACTTCAAGATAAAGTAATACAGAATTTCCCGAACAACTTAAAATGTCTGTTGCTTAAAGAAGAGACAGCCTTTGAAAGAAGTGGCTCAGAAAATTCTAGTGGAAGTTTAGGAGAATGGAAACATGCCTATTTGGTTCCAACTCTCATTCCCTATCCAATCATCTTCAACAACTTTCTGATATAAGCCCTTTGTTTACTGTAGCTGAAGTTTTTCCACTGGGCATTCAATACCTTCCCCTCTCCAAGGCCTATGCCAAAAGCCTTAACAACTTCTTGGGTACCAAAATCCCAAACCACTTTCCAAATCCTCTCAGATGCCAAAAGCCTCAAATGCACTCTACCCAACAAGCTACACTCTCTATCCTCTCACCCCATCCCCTTGTCAACTTCAACAGTGTACTTATGAATTGTCAATCTACCAAATTTTGAGTTGCAGAGTTTTGTATGTTCATACTGCAGGACATTCCACTATTGTGATTTGTATTTCATTTTCCCCAAGAGAGCTTCTAGAATCTGCATCTACATTTTCTTGGTAACAAACAGCATGTGGCCAGAATAATGTTCCATGGCACTTGCCCACTAAACTTTAGACATCCCTGTGAAATTCCACTCCCTTTTGCTACTAACCCAGACCATTCTCTCCTCTTCTAAGCTTCACAGAACTTGTTCCCTTAGCTGGTCAGAGAACATGACATCTAGCACTTCATCATAGTCATTGCTCTCTGGAAAAAGCAACAGAGAGTCCTGTGGCACCTTTAAGACTAACAGATGTATTGGAGCATAAGCTTTCGTGGGTGAATACCCACTTCATCAGACACATGTAATGGAAATTTCCAGAGGCAGGTATAAATATGCAGGCAAGAATCAGAATACCCCTCTGATAATTGCTCTCTAGATACTCTCTTACCACTGTGTCTTCTCAAGTGAAGATCTCAGGGTTTACTACACAGTGGAGTACATCTTACATGTATAATTGTTAATATGTATATCTAGGGGGGCATGTACCATTTTTTGATTTTCATCTAATAATGGGACAATACGATCATTCAGGATTTCCATGTCCACAGTTAGAGCAATGCTCCAGGAACCTACTTTTGCTGAGTGGAAAACCATCTCAAATACAGCTCACTGAAAGTCCAAGCTTCCAGAATGCACATTCTTCCAACTATGATAGAAAAAACTGTTAACACCTGTACTCTTTATATTCAGCTATGGATCTGTCAATTAAAAATGAGGATAAAATTTATGAAAGTGGTGTTTAAAATCTGTACAAGATCTACATGCAGTGACAATTCTATTAAATTGTTTCCTCTTCTTCCTTTGTGTTTATACTAAATTGAGCTAAACAGAATCATCTCAGCCAGACTGAATACATGAATCCCGAAGAAGAGCTCTGTGTAGCTCGAAAGCTTGTCTCTTCGCCAACAGAAGCTGGTCCAATAAAAGTTATTTCCTCACCCACCTTGTCTCTACATGGATTCTGTACAGTTATGAGTCATGGATGAACACTTCCTATACTGACTGGCTGATACTGTACAAATAATGAAAAATAACTACACAAGCATTATGCCAATCCATGAACTCTGGCTGGCAGACAGCCTGTCAACCAGAATACATCTTTCTTCTAAATACTATATTTCCACTTGCTCAGAACCAAGTCAATGGCAAGGCAAAGCACACCCATTAACTCTAGATAGATCTGTTTTATTGAAATAACCAGATTTCTAAGGGAGCGAGATATGACTTTTTGGACTATGTCACCCTGATGTACAATTAAATGATCTTATATTTACATAATATCTTTACTCCTGAAGAAACTATATATTGATATACAAACAATAATCATTTCATTGATGAATAAAGTGGATTAGGGAGCAGACCATACTAGCTGTTCATAACAGTTTAGGGCAAAGTGTGAATACCACCATATTTATGAAACTACAGGGGGAAATCCAGGGACCTAGCCAAACAGGGATTCCAGAGCAAATACCACAACTTTTTGCAAGCAATGCTTTGTACCTTTAATGATCACAAATGTTTGCAACTGTAAATTTTACATCTCATACAAAAGAATGGCATTGTGAGAAGCACCACACCACACTAGGACACTGTTTCCGTACAACTTAAAAGGAACCTACCACTTAAAGAATCACCAACACTTCTTGTCAGAGTCTCCCAAGTTTTCCTTTGAGGTTTCTCTGCAAGTACCCAGCTTAAACTTGCTTAACTTGTGAGTTATGACATGTTCACAGGCTAAGGTGCTACAGGGCAGCAGGCAAATCTGTTCCTATCTAGATTTTTACTTTTTTCTAATTGTGTTACAGGCTCTGCTGCTAGCATCTCCTATTAAGATTAGTGGGAAGCGTCGGGCAAAGATCCTGTTTTCAGTTGCTTATAACATGACAAAACTAACGGTCTGGGCTGAAATTTTCCATGCCAGGGGTCAGCTGCAGGCCAATCTTTTTTGGAAAATTTCAGCCAAAATGGTTCAACCATTTCCAAGAATGAGGCTAGGAAAAAATAGGTTTTGCTCATGTTAAAAAATTGAGATTATTTTCCTTGAAATGCCTTAAGACCCCCATGCTCTGAAGTATTTTTGCTGTCACCATGAAAATCCACCTAAATCTCACTGTTACAAGCCACTGAAAAATTGCAGTTTGCATATGCTCAGAACAGACTTTGATTTTAGCAGCTAAAATCTGTGAAGACTGAATTCTCTCTGAGCACATTAGAGCCCCTCACAGCTCAAAGTGCTGACTAAACTGCCAGTGCACCAGCCCTACAGGCTGAATGACCATGCTCCATCACTTACCAGCTCCTACCTATGGCCAGACTGTGCAACTGACATCCCCACAAGAGTGACTGAGCATGCTCCAGTGCAGGGCTAATTGGAGGTGGGGGACAGAAGCACTTCCCCTGTAATTGCTGCTCCCAGCTGCTCTAGGCTGGGCCAGGCAGAGTGAACAGACTGGGATAAGGAGCCAAGGATGAGGTAAGAGGGGAGAGAGATTGGATGAGGCGCCTGGAAGCCAGTGGAGGGGAGAGGAGAGATCACATTAGAAACTAGAACCTTAATTCTAACTTTCAAGTGATTTACTTTGCAATCTTAATAATGTTCTTTTAACCTAGTTTTTGTGTGCAAATTATCTATGTTCAAGGAGCGAGGTGGCGACCCAAGAGTAACTTGTATTCCATACCTTGATTATTTCCACCAACTGATCCACACCACTGTCGCCTGGAAAGATTGGTTGTCCAAGTAACAGTTCAGCCAATACACAGCCTGCTGACCACACATCTGAAGAGAAAAGGGGGAAAAGTGTTTCAGTTAAAGATGTTATATATATATCATATCAAATTTAACCCATTTAATACATTACTCTGTGTTTGGTTCTGTACAAGATACAATTAATCAAGAGCACTCAGCCT